CCACCCTGTGCCCTCCTAGTGCCAGCCTGCAGCTGCAGTCCACCCTGCGCCGCGCAGATGCAGGGGGCACACACCTCAAGTGGCTCTGACTCGCGCCCCTCCCCGCCTCAGCTGGTCAGCTCCTGCCCCAGCCCCGTTCCCTCCCTCACCACAGGGGTCCTTATCTGGCGCCCCCCACACACCCCTTCCCTCCCCTTCCACCATACCAAACTTACCAGCTGGACGCAGCTTTTCAAGCTGAAGAGCTGTGTATAGGAAATTGTATTGATATTGGCCGATATGCCTCCTTAAAAATTGGCTATCTTTATTGGCCCCAAAAATCTCTATTGGTGCACCCCTAGGTTCGAGCCATCAGTAGGTCAGGTAACTTCTGAACAAAGTGCAGATCTCCGGCTTGAAGGCTTGTTCTCAGATGCTGGAGTTCATCAGTTTCCATGGTTATCCTGGAGTGCTACCAAGGGTCAAGCTAAGAGTTTTTGGTGTAGACAAATGGTCTGTGAGTTAGGAACTTTAGGGTAACCTGAAGGTTGACAGTAACTTAAAGTAAAAAAGCTTGAATTTCCCCAAAATTTAATTGATTTGTGTGGTGGAGATTTGGAAGAGATCTGCACCTTCAGTGTTAGAAATGATGAAAGACAGAGGATTCCTCTGTTGCCACACAAGTAGTTGCATATCGATCAACAAGCTGGTACATAGGTTCTCTTTAAATTAATGAATTGGAATCATCCCTAGTGTAACTCCCTTCACTGTCAAAAAAGGGAACAAAGAAACATTTGAATGCATGGGGCAACAAAATGAAAAAATAACGTAAAATATCTTGTGTCTGTATGTTTTGGTGGTACACCCTTATCATGGAAAGATGTTCATCTCTGGTTTCCTGTATCAAAAAGAATCTAGCAGAGTTTGGATTCAGAGAGACAAGGAACAAAAATGTTTAGCAGAAAAAGCTTCCAAAGGAAAAGAGACTGTAAAGGTAGGGATGGCTTGGTTAATAGGGGAACATAGCATATTTACTTGTACCCCACATGCCTCTAAATAAGACACGTGCCTTGTTATGGGAAGGCAGAATGAAGGAAAATGAAGATTTTTCCAGAATCGTACTTAGGCTCAACATGGCTGCATGCTGGCCCTAGACTGTGGGCCAGATTCCATCTCTCAGCATCACTCAACCTCTAGTTGCAACTTCAGAATTACACTTTCAATCCTGTCATAGCTGCTGTTGAATTGACAGCAGTTTTTAGCTGCTCAGCCGAAGGCTACGGCTAGTTCAGCAGTGGCTGTGACAGGGTTAAAACTAACCATGACTCTGAAGGGTGCACACTATTCTTCCCTCCTGGACAGGGAGAGAAGCACTGCAGCCATAACAGGGAGCCATTACACGACAGGCATAACATGCTTCACTTTCACTTTAAGTGCAGAAATCAGCTTTCTTGCTTAAGACATGTACCCCAATTTTGGAGGGCTGATTTTTGGGAAATGGGTGTGTGGTATGCAAGTAAATATGATAACAGGCATGTACACAATAATTAATGGTGTAACAGACCAGATACAGCATAGCAGATAAAATGTCTTGTTCTGGATTCAGAAGTTTGAGTTCAAGCCTGGGTCCTTAACTTGCTCTGCAGGGAGGCCCCAGTGAGGACTTCCTCATCATTCTGTAAGGGACATCAAAGATAGCTGGATGTGATGCTAACTATATCACTTCCACATGTGTCTTTGGCTACAGAAACTGGTGCGTCTTAGTTATGCTTTATACCAGTAGGTCACCTAGGTATGGGTGGACCTTTAACAGACCAGGTGAAGTGAATTGCCTCCATCTATCACCCTGTTGAACAATGAGCTATGGAAGATTCATATGGGTGAAATAGGGAAATTTACAATACATGGTTAGGATGTGGAACTTATTGTTACTCTTTATCGTTAAGGGTAAGGACTTGGAAGAATTAAAAAAAACTGATGGTCATATGGAGAATGAACACTGTAGCTTAGAAAAAATTTCAGTAATTTAGAATTGATAAAAACCCTCTGAAACGATCTCTGACTGATGGAGGTTGGAAAGAAATTTTACCAATGGCAACTTGTTCTAGAATTGCACACAACAGCATTTCTTGCACTACCTATACAGCCACTGTCTAAGACAAGATGCTGGACTTGTTCAGACTTATTATGGTGATTCCAATGAAAAAAATGAGTGCCTCTGGGCAGGGGAAGAACTCGGGAATTCCAGGCTTCCAGTTCTCCATTGAGTGAAGCCTGAAGACTAATTAAAGGGAGCTTCAGTATTCTAGGGAAGTGTCTTGCTTTTTTCTGTTTTCCTAGGGCAGTCCCATGGAAGTCATCCTTTGAATGA